GAGAGAGAGAGAGAGAGAGAGGATTGACCTCTTCGAAACAAATCTTGTCCCTGCTTAGTAGAGTTGATCAAGTGCTCAGTGCTCTTCAGCTCGGCCACGTTGTTCTCCTAAGTGCCGTCAAGACATGGGCTGTGCGATCTCCCGGGTACCTGATGCGCATATGCTTCAATCTTAGTCTTGATTCGATCGACACCGCCGAAGAAACTCAGGTGCCAGCTGGCGTCGAGTATGACCTGCCGGAGAACTTTACAAGGAGGAGGTGGAGAAGGGAAGGAGATGGGGCAAGAGAGGAGAAGGAGGAAGCAACGGAATGAGAAGGGGAACGAGGAGGGGAAGGGGGGAAAAGCTTTCCAAATAGGAAGGGGTGAAGGAGAGGGGGAGGAGCACGAGGAGGAGAAGAAGGTGAAGGATGATGATGATGAGGAGCAGGAGGACTCACATCCATATTGTTGGAAGCCTCGTCTGCAGGGTCATACCGGAGATGGTTGACAGTGAGACGGGGGAAGGCCAACTGCCCGATCAGGTGTGAGAGGATTTCGATCACATGCTCCTAGTGCGACCTGAGACACCAGGATGGCCCGCGGCTGCTTCCATTGGAACGGTCGGTACCCGACGTCCAGCCTCTCTGTCCAGCTGGCAGAGGGGAAACGTTAGCAGGGGCAGTGTGGGAGGGGAGGGGAGGGAGGGTCAAGGAAGGAGGAAAGGTCAAGATGCGAGAGGAGGGAGGGATGGGGAAGGGGAGGGGAACGACACCGGTGCTCCAAGGAGTAGTAGAAGAAGGCGCTACGAAGCTTCGGAAGTTCAAGTCAACTCGTCATGCCCCCTCCCCCCCCCGCAGCTCTTCACCTGCAGAGGAGATCGGAAACCATCGCACCAGCTCAGGGCCCGGATGGTTGACCTGAGGAAAGGCGAGTAACCGTGCGAACCAGCCGCTGAGCGAACCAAGGAGGAGGGTCAACATGGGACTGCACCTTCTTGGGATCTCGTCGGTATCTGAGACTATGAGGAGGTCTTCCCCATCGGCACCAGACTACAGCGCTCAACGTCACTCGTGAACTGACTGGAGGACTGGATCTGCAGGAAAGACCTGCTCCAACCCTTCATGGATTCCATCTCTTTGCGCTCGTTCTCTGTCGAGAAGTTTGTAAGACATGCTGGCAGCAAGGTTTCGATGTCTCACCTGACCCAGTGATCTGGCGAGTTGGGCAGAGAGTCGAGGATAATGTGGACAATCTTCTCAAGCCATGGTTCGAAGAAGTTGCCTGCTCGAGGTGTCAACGAGAACCGAGATGCTTCTCACGAGCAGGTTACGGTTGCTTTCAAAGATCAGCTCCTTCGGGAACCCAGAGTGGGTCATTGCACTTTCCACCAGGATAAATTTATCCACGACCTGCGCGTCAAAGGAAAGAGCATGGGAATCAGAACAGTCGGCAAGAGCGAGCAATGAATCTCCAAGAGCGAGCAATGAATCTCACGGGATCCAGCTCTTTGATACGAACTTGCAATATCTCTTCAAGTAAGTGAGTCCAAGAATGCATCTGCACAGTCAAGACGTATGATTACCGATCTCGTTGAAGAACGGGAAGGCGTCGATAATCCTTCGGGGCTCATTCCTCAGCGAAAATCTTGAGTGTCCCAACCTATTGTTGAGCTCAATCTCGTGTATTTCTCCCTTCACTTCTTCTCTCTTACCCATGGAGAGATGGAAAATCTCTACAGACCGATTCGGCGAACCATCTCGCCTCCTTATCCAGCGACAGCATGCCCTTCGCACGGTGAGAACGAGGACAGGAAGGCGCCTGTCCCTCACATTTCGAATCCGCTCGTCATCGAAGTGCTCTGCGACCTGCAGACTGAATCATACGTGGGAGCATGAGCAACACTTGCAAGCATGATCAACGGCACATGAACATGTGAAGAAGGTCAGTCGCAAACACGAACTGTCGTGACAAAGCATCTGGCATTCGATGGCAAGGCAGCTGTTAGCCGACCTTGTTCTCAATGTACTCTCTCAAGGATCTCCGATGAACCTCAGGATCTAATCCGAACTTTTGACATGACCTGATGATTTCGAGAAGGTCAGCAGCACCTATAGCAGGAAGTAGCAATGGAAATACTTGATAGACAGAGCGTCAGCTGAAAATTCGGGAGACATAGAGAAGGAAATTTCTCTTCGGAAGGAGAAAAGGCAGACCAAGAAGAGACGAGCCATAGAGATCTCGTCAGAACCAGAGAGGAGAGGAACTGTAACTTTCATACCTTCCAAGGTAACTGAAGGAGAAATGGTGACCTGCGATGCAGATCAATTGAGTCATATAAGAAGAGGGCAGGAAACTATCAGGGGAGAGAAAGTTCAGATGGAGCAAGAAAAGCATCTCGTAGATCATGCTCGAACAACCTTCATCTTCGCTCCCACTCGCCAGCATTGCCAGCAGCAGTAGCGTTCCCCCGGCCAGGTACCGCATTAGCGTCAAAACTTCATAAACTTCCTAGTAGGTCATGGGCGAACTTTCATTAGAAAACTTTCATTCACAAAATCTTTCCGAGGTTTCCGAAGTTTCAAACTTTCAAATTCTACACACCACCCCAACCCCGCCATTGCTCTTTTGAGAATTTAGTTAATAGAGAAACGGGGGATCAAAAGGTCCTGACTGGGTCTTGAATTGTAGGGGGTAGGTACACACAATTAATGGGGTACTTTAAAGGGGTATATATCAGGTATGAATATACCGAATTTCATAGGTAGGGTACAAGATGATGGTAATTTAGTGAAAGAGGTGGGTGTTGAATTTAAATAGGTGGGTGTGTCACTCACCAGGTAAGGATGAGGGTGGGGTGGTCAGAAGGGAAGGGCGGGAATGAGAGGAAGGATACGAGGGAGCGAAATGGTGAGAGAGGGCTGGGGAAGAAATGACGGTAATGGTAGGGGCGTAGGGAGGACAGAAAGTATTGAAGGAGGAGGGAGTGATGGTCTGATGGATGAATGGACGAATAGATGATGAGGAGGAAGGGCAGGACTTGGAACATGGACATCAGTGTTAGAACATGAACAAGAAACGCTATGATCTAATGACATGAATATCTCATAATATCGTGTTCGAAGGATTTTGGAAGATTTAGAGAGGATCATTCGCACTGAGATTGTTCTGACACTTGATCCAGATAGCCTTGCCGACCCAGGATTCAGATTTGTCGTTCGCTGCGAGGAGATGAATTGGGCACGAAGTCAACGGAAAGGCTCTATCATCACCAGGGTGCCATCCTGGGCATGATTCCACGGGCGCTGCATGCGCTTCAACAACTTCGCCAACCCCATGTAGAGCGGATGATGTAGGAATGCAGATCTGGAAGGTTTTGATCGTTGTCTCTGCCATCCTCTGCCAGCAGGATGACGGAGTTGGTGCTGACTCACTCACCAAGTTGCCGACAATCGTATACGGAAACAAGAATGTTCCTATCACCTTGGTGGAACTGCAGGGGCACGAGCAATGTCAGGTTACAAGGCTTGTGTTGCGAGGGGGGACACGGTTTGCAGGAGGAAGGCGGAAGAAGGACTGGCAGCTCTCTCACAGCTCAGAAGACGACACTTCCTGCGATCCGGACTGGAGCTCGGTCTGGAAAGAAGAGAAGCGCAGGGAGGCTCCGAAGCCCAAGTGGCTGGATCTGATTTCAGACAAGGAAAGCATCGATCGGGGTGACAGTAGCTATGAAGGAGACATTGCCAAGGCTGTGAGGAAAGACCTTGAGAACCTCTGTGCTAAGAGAGCTCTGAAAGGTCGCCCTAAACCTCCCAGCGTCAAGCGCGTAACTACCAAGCGGGCATCGAACACAAACCCCAGGAGCAGACAGCCTCCGTTGGTTGCAGCGCGAAAACCAGCGCCGAGAATGACAAGAAGCGGGCAGCTTTCTCCGAGATGGGGGACGCGTGCGAACGACGCGCTGGCAGCAGCATTGCGGGGTGATTTAGGAGCAGTCTCGGAACAATCAAAGGAATATCCTCGACGGGTGAGAAAGCCCCTCCAACAGGACTACAGGATGCTCTTGTCTCCGCCACGGCAGCCATCAGGTCCACGAGGCAGAGATAGACCTCTCCGCATCGTGACAGTGTATTGCAGGAAAAAAGCAGGTTTCTCGAAATGTCAAGAAGATTGAGCACGAGTGGGACATCAGTTCAGACTTTTCTCCGTCAGAAGAGCTGAAAGTTCCAGCACTGACGAACGGCAAGAAGGGTAATCTCGTTTAAGTTGTGTTGGGTCCCCTGTGTCAAGTTTTCTTTTCTAGGTTTTCCATCAACTTGTGTCAAGCTCAATCTTGAATCGCCTCAAGCTGCCGACATCTATGATGACTTTTTAAAGACAGATCATGTCCCTTCAAACTCCAAGGCGACTAGTTTTACAAAAAGTTCTGCAACGAAGAAGAGGTCTGTCGAAATTGTGCCTGGCTCAAAGAAAGGGAGTGAGAAAGGTATCAATCTATTCGACCTCCCTTTGAATTGAGATGATTTGCCAGCGTCTTCAAATCATGTTGTCTTGCAACCCGAGAATGTGACACCGAATTCTGCTCTGCTCTGCCGACATGGTCTCTACATACATATTTGAATTTCACAAACGCTTCTTACTCCTTTGCTCTCACAGTCTCTTCCTCAAGAGCTGATTCGTGGACTGCAATGTCAGCCCTCGAACCTGTCCAGGTCTCTAAGAAAATCTCCCCCTTCGAGGGGGACCAGGACGACGACCTTAGCATCAACCTGGACCAGAAGAATGAAAGCGCTGCCATCGATCAAGTGGAGCAATTTCCCCTAGAGGACACGACATCTGTTGAGCAGGGTATCAGAAGCAAACTTGTGGCCTCGCACAAGGACGAGCCCGAATATGAGTATGCAGTGAAGAGTGCGATGTCAGCAGAAGAAGTCGTCTCTGCCCTGAATGATGTGGTGAAAAAATCGAATGACGACGGCAAGGTGCTTCTTCTCGACGCGAACAAGAGGCGTGTATCTGCATGAATCCGTGAAGAGCCTGTGACTGTATGGTCAGGTGGTATTCCTTTGGTGCTGATGGCTTGGATCCGGTTGAGAATGAAGGTACATTGGAATTATGAATCTTCCTTCTTCTCCTTATTGCATTGCACAGGCTATCACTCTCTTGAAACAAATTCTGTGGTTGCCGCACTTGAATCCTGCATACAAACCGCGAAATCCAAATTAGAAGCTTTGAAGTTGCGAGAAGACTTGGAGTAAGATTTAGGTTGGATCGCATGATTCCGATCTGAAATCTTTTCCCCAGAAGCTTGTTATCACCAGAGCAAATAGACAGACTGAAAATGCGAATAGAGGATGCCAGGTACTGTTGCTGGAACTGCCGATAACCTCTGACGCAATGGCAGCGACAAGGGAAACACCCTACTACACATCTTAGATTCTCCAAGTAGAGTCGCCAACAGCATAGGTAATCTCTGCTTACTTACCACAAGCTTTGCCTCATCTCACTTACCTCTCAGAATGTATATCACAATATCAAACCATGAAGTCAAGAGTGGACGCCCCAGTAACTGAGACGGAACGCGATGTGAGCGAATGTGTTGCATGTCCACAAGAACTCAAAGGTGTTTGTAGGTCGGTAGGATGTTGAAGCAATGGAGGAGGACAGGTCTCTCCGCTGCTGACATTTCTCATTTTTGCGGTGACGCTCATCTACCAACAGCGATAGTCATGGGCACATGGCACAGCATCCGAGCTCAGTGGGAGCAGAGGAGCGACTCCCTCCAGCAGCTCTGGTTATCACTGTCCTCCTTCCCTTCCTTCATCGTTCCCTGCTTCATGTCATGTCCCTTTCTCAATCTTCCTGCCCGTCTACTTCGTGCCCCTTTCCTTCTCTGCTCCTTCCCCACTCGTCTCGCTCTTGCGAATCTATCCCCCTCTAAACTCGCATCCATTGATCAGCCATGGAGCTGTCAGAGATCCACTAGCAGACAAGGAAGGATGCGTGGTAAGAATGAAACATGGTGCCCCTGCAACCTCAACCCCCGGTCAGGTGTACTTGGGAGGGATCTACGGCTTCAACGAGAAGCAGCTGAGAGAGAGACTGGAGCTGTTCGGACAGGTGAAGACGATGGGAGGAAGAGAAGTTTCTTCATCCGCTTGTTCAGGTCATCCGGCTCCAAATGAGGCAATTCTATGCTTTCGCTCAGGTGATCCTTGTGACACTCCCTCTCTTCCTCTCTCCTCCCTCCTCGATCTTCCTGCCTCTTCTCCCTCTTCCCTCCTCTCCTCCCCACGAGCCGTTGACGCGACTGTCAGTTCGCTTCTCCTGCCATGGCCGCGGCTGCCGTCAAGTGGAGCAGCGGCCGCATCTCCGGTCGGAAAGGTGAGCAGGCGCGAGGAGGCAGAGCGCATGGAGCAGGGAGAGAGGGAGCAGGGGAGGAGCTCATGGGTAGCGGCAGGTGAGGCGATGCAGGACAAGCTGGTGGTTCTGCCGGCGCCAGGAGGAAGCATCCGCCGGTGTGGGGTTATTCTTTGTATGTCAAGCGCTAGGGAAGGAAGCGAAAGACGAGGAGGGAGAGGGTGAGGGCTGCGAGGAGGGTCGACATGTTATCAGAGGTAATCAAGTGAAAGGTTCAAGGCTTACCTCCTTCAGAGCTCCTTCTTGCCCTCCTCTCTGATCATGCCCTCCGGCAGCTCGCGCGTGTAGATGTACTTGTCCGACCCCTTGCCGAGCTGCAGCACACAAGTCAACCTCCCATCGCCTCCCCCGCGCGTGAGCATCGCGCGACCCTCAGGCGTCACTGACCTCCTTCTCCGTCAGCGGCACGCGCCTGCGAGGCGAGTGAGGGGAGGGAGGCAGCAGGGTCAAGCGCGCAAGTACCTCTCCGACGACAGGTAGGCCGACAAGCTCGGCAGCGAGGCCATGCGGGTGACGAAGGCAGAGAGAGACTTGTATCCTGCCCGGTCCAGGTACTTGTCTCCCACCTCCTGTAGGGTGTAGAGCGCGTGGAACATCCCGACGTCGGCGTACGTCAGCTTGTCCCCGACGAAGTACTGCTTCGACCCCAGCAGACCCTCGCTCTTCTCAAGATACATACGGAGACGTTGAGCATCGGTACTGTCACTATCAACAGCTTCATGGACTGCTGGTTTCTTGCCCATGATGTCCTTCGAGCCCTCGAACACCATGTCCACCATGCTCTCCTCCTCCTCCGTCGCCCCGGAGAGCCCCAGCTTCTTCGACAGGTACCGCACGATGGCACCTGACTGTGCCAGCCAAGCCTCTGACCCGTCGTCCTTCTTCACATGCAGCACGGGCATCTGACCGAAAGGAGCAAAGGACTTGTACTCCTTGGTGGTGAAGTACATCACGCTGTCATCTGCCATCAACGCTATCAGCAGGGGATGAGACGAGCAGCAAACACGAGCAGCAAACATGAGCAGCAAACACGAGCAGCAGACATGAGCAGCAGACATGAGCAGCAGGGCATCTACAGGGGTAGCAGGAGGCGCTGGTGACTCACATGGGGTCTGCGAGATCTCAAGGATGAGGCGAGGGAGTTCGCCAAGGCCCTGGAGGCAGAAGTAGTGGAGCTGGAAGGCAGCTGATGTCGCTCCTTGAGGGCGATGCGACACGACAATCCTGTCATGCTCGCTCGAGAGCGACTTTGGGATCTCTCCAGCTACAACGCCAGCAGCAGTAGCCGCCATCACCAGCATCGCCGCAACTTTCGTGGCAGGGGACATGGTTTGGGTGGATGAGTCGATACTCTGGTTACAAAACGGTTACATTGGGCGTTCACCTAACACTTTCTAAAACTATATATTCAACTTATATTTAAACTTGGTACAATATAGAAGAAATATATAGAAAATTTGTATAGTAAAAGCTCGGTCAAACGAGGTTCGTATCTGCAACATGATATTTATAGATTTTAAAAACTGTTTTTTTCATCCGGTAAAATATATGTTATCGTTTAAAATAGTAGTAGCACCCCCTGACACGCCACATGTCGTGACACCGGAGCGCGGGAGTGGAGGATCGGCAGTGGAAAGAGGCAATGAGCGACAGGAGCGCTATGGAGAGATAATCAACAAGCAGGAACAAGTATCAACAAGTAATCCATACAAGTCTTCCAAGGTTCAGACCTTGTTAGTTGCAAGCAGCAAGCGGAAGAGCTGGAAAAATTTGTTGCCGGGACGTTAGCGAATCTCCCTGATTCTTCAACGCCTGCCTGGAGGGAGGATAGACATATCCGTTCTCAAACATCGACATTCAGACGCTGAACGTGCCAGGTGGATGTCACGGTCGCTCGGGCTGAATTGAGACAGTTGGAACACTTCAAAAGAAAAGACCAAAATTTCTGATAACGAGGACGAGGAGCCTCCGTCTGCGGACGCCTTTTTGATCTCAGAAGAATCAGAGATGCACGGCAGCTCGAAGAAAAAGCACATTCCAGGTGAGATCAGCTTCGTCTCTGTCCTCTTCCATCATCGCAATGTACTAACACTGATCCTTCGCAAGCAAACGGCCCCATGCGGTGTACAGGGCGGTGAGTCAACGTGGGGGTTGAAAGCATGAGGCAGCATGCATCAACTTCTGCATCCTCATCTTGCTGCATGCTGACTTGAGCTCTTTCTCAGGGGCGGTGTGATTCTCGTCGTGCTTCTCGCGTTCCCTACCTTGGTGTTCGTCGCTTTCATGCAGAGCCCGTATGAGGAAGATCGCAAGCCGAGCCCGAGTCCGCAAGGAGGGATCGCGCTCTCTAAGATCCAGAAGTACAACGAGGAGTCGCAGAAGCTCACCCTCCCTCACAAGCCCTACCAGATCGCTCGTCAGTCCTTCACGGAGAAGGCAGCTGACGCCGTAGCTGGGCTCGTCACAGGGAAGCCGCACTCGATCTACGACTTCAAGGCGAGATCGATCGATGGGGAAGAGGTCTCCTTGTCCAAGTACTCGGGGAAGGTTGTGATCATAGTGAACCTGGCCTCCAACTGCGGGTACACGGATGTGAACTACCGCGAGCTCCAGACACTCTACAGCAAGTATCAGAAGCAAGGTCTGACGGTCTTGGGCTTCCCTTGCAATCAGTTCGGGGGGCAGGAGCCAGGATCTGACGAGGAGATTAAGAAGTTTGCTGAGAGCAAGTACCATGTGTCGTTCCCTCTCTTCTCCAAGGTCGAGGTCAACGGGAAGTACGCCCACCCGCTGTTCTCCTACCTCAAGGACACTTTCGGCATGAAGAGCATTCCATGGAACTTTCAGAAGTTTGTGGTGGACCGGAATGGACAGCCTGTGCTGCAGTATCCGTCTCAGATTGATCCCATGGCGATGGAGGTGAGAGACGCTGATGGTGCTTGACTGCTCTGTGACCACGTCAATTTTCAGGGAGAGATTCTCAAACTAATAGGATGAAAGCAGATTTTCACTTCGATCAGTTCGATATACACTGTCTTTGTTCGACTTCAACGGGATTGACAATCAAAAGAATTAGAAAAGTAAAAAACATCAGCAGGAGAGAGTTGTTGCGCGCCTTCTCTGGCCATCACAATCGAAACCCGTAGCTGGGGAAGCCCAGTCGCTTCGCGAGGGACCTGGATTTCTCTTTGAGGACGAAGTGATTCGTTTCTGACTGCTTCGCTCGTTTGAGTGTGTCTTTCAATCCATGCACGATCCCGAGCAATGACAGCTGCAAGCTGCTGTCAGCACCAACGACCACACGGCTTTCTCCTTCACCTTGGGCAACGACTTCAAGCTCTCTTCCTCTTGCCTCTTCAGTTCCAGGCACGTGTGGTCCACCTTCAAGGGATGTCAGGAGCTGCTGGCACGTTATGATCTCACCTCCTCCAGCGCGTCTGTCCACCTCTTCCTCCTCAGCTGCTTGACCAGCAGCTTCTCGTTGGCCTCCTGAGTCTTGGCGATCTGATCTTGCAGCTTCCTCTGCTCCCTCTCCTTCCTCAGCAGGAGCTTCTGGATGTTCTGCCGCCTGAACTCTTCTTGCTGCATCAGAATCTTTCGGATACCCGTCCGAGGTCTGACGGCAGCGATCCTGTGCTTCTGAGACCAGGGGGAGAGGATGGCGCGTGCCTGGTACTCAGGTCGCAGAGCATACGAGAAGTTCCAGCTGACGACGGAAGCAAACTGATCCCATCGGTTGCGCTCGACGTTGAGCGCGAACTTCTGTAAGTCCACCTCCTTGGCTACCCGAGCAAACAAGGAGCGGAGAGAAGGCTTGCTCCCCTCGGACTTCTTCCTGCTGATCGTGATGACCTCGAAGACGCGGGGGATCGTCATGAACTTAGGCACAACCCCTGCGTCCTTGAGCACTTTGATAGCGATCAGGTACCTCTTGGCCGGGAACAAAACCCTCGACGCTCGTTCAATGCGATCTTCACTCTCGTCTCCATTGGGTTCCGGACTTGGCTGCAGAGTGATTTTACCGTGAAACCCTTGTAACAAGACCCTCCACGCTCTGCAGTAGTCGACAAAGTCGTACTCTTCTGCAGGCCCGTTCGCTAGCAGCTCGCCGAGAAGTTTCTCCCCCTCCTCCTTCAGCAGCTGGAGGTCGACCGCGTGCTCTTTGACAGGCGCCTTCCTCGGGTGGTTCGGGTCAACTTTCAGCCTCTTGAATGCAGACGGAAAAAACACTTGATGCCACTCCTTGAGTGCGTTGACGAAGCCATCCACACTCATCGTCTGCGAGTCTGCTGGGAGATGCTTCCTGTACAGGGTGAAATCACAGAAAAACCCGGAGACCAGAGGGAAGCATTCTTCCGGCAAGTGCTGCTTGTGGCATTCTTCTTGGACCAGGAGGAGACAGTGACGACAAAACTCTTCTTTCAGTTGTGATGTATCTCCATTCTTGCTTGCATTCAGTGCTTTAGTCGTGAAGATTGTGGGTTCTGTCTTGTGTTTTGGCTTGTCAGCTGCTGGTGCTGAGGCAGCATCTGCAGTTTCATGTGATTCCACGTGATCCTTCTCTTCTTTTTCTTGTTCCTTCTCGTCCATCTCACGCTCTTCCAACAGATTGCTTCCTTCCCTTTGCAGAGTCTTGCTCAGAAACCTGGAGAGGGCATGGCATATTCTAGACGACACCTTGCCTTCGTTCAACATCTTACTACCTAAGCACAGCTTCAGGTCCTCACACAAGGCTTCCGCTTCTTGCATGGACAGTCTTCGTTTCCAGCTGGGGATTCCTCCATCAGGTTCGGACGGTACAACCTTGGCGTCATCTACGAGTCGGTTGTCAACGAGGACCTCCAAGAACTTCTCCTTGTTGATATCTCGAGCTCCCTCGCTCCTCCTTCGTTTGGTCTGCGGCTCTCCTTGAGACACCAACACCTTCATCAGTGCCATGTACACTTCCTTCTCCGCTCGTCTCCTCATTTCTTCTGCATCCGTCTCGGGGTTGACCCTCTCCTCTTCCTCAGCCTGAAAGCTTTCTGTCCCGTGAAGTTGTTTGCGCAAGGTCAGGAAACCTTTCAGCCTTGACATGGCTTGTCTGTACGATTCGAAGTCTAACTTGCCTTCATAGAGTTTAGACCGCTGCGAGACCGGCAGACATTGCAGGAAGATTGTCCTGATCTCCCCCTCGTACTTCTTGAAACCTTGCATGCTATCTTGGATCACCTTCTCGACTATCCTGGCGTTCTTGATGGTTCTTTCAAAACGATTCAGAGTCATGGCAGACAACTTGTCTTTCTCGACTTCGGAGTTGAAGAAGTCAAACTGCAAGTACGGCTCGATCCTCGCATGCTTCAGGGACTCACTCTGGACGCTGGGATGAGCTCTCGCTGGAGAGACGCTCTTCTTGCGAGGACGAACGAAGTTGAGAGGAGAAGACTCCCAATGCCGAGAAACCTTCATCAAACTCTTGCCGACAGTCGGAGCAATTTGATCCTTCCTTGCTCTTCTATCTTTCGTCTTATGGTGTAGCGTTGCTGCCTCCTGCTGCTGCTGCTGCTGCTGCTCCCCCTCGTTTGTATTCTGGTCATGCTCTTGTGTAAGCAGCGGCTCCTGTTGCAATATGGTTTGCTGCTGCTTGTCTTGCTGCTCCTGCTGCTGGCCTTGGAGCTCCTGCTCTTGCTCTGGTACCTGCTGCTGCTGCTGCTGCTGCTCCTTCTCCTCCTCCGGCCCGTCAACTTGCTGCTGCTGCTGCTGCTGCTGCTGCTGCTGCTGCTGCTGCTGCTGCTGCTGCTGCTGCTGCTGCTGCTGCTGCTGCTGCTGCTGCTGCTGCTGCTGCTGCTGCTGCTGCTGCTGCTGCTGCTGCTGCTGCTGCTGCTGCTGCTGCTGCTGCTGCTGCTGCTGCTGCTGCTGCTGCTGCTGCTGCTGCTGCTGCTGCTGATTTTTCCTTTGCTGATGTTTGATAGACGACGAAGCATGTTGATCTTTTCTCTGATCTTTGAGTGTCGGATGATGGTGGCTTTCCTTGCTGGATGCTAGTTTCGTCAGATCTTCGTTCTCTGTGACATACTTGGCTACTTTTTCACATGCGTGTGTGTAACAATCCCAATCGAAGACAGCAGTCTCATGAGCTTTCAAGGCATCGTTGAAGATCGTTTGAATCGCTTGCCTTCGGATGGTTCTCTTGATGTAGAATGGTGATATCTGTTCAGGTAGATGTCTTTGAGCGACCTGACCATTCTTTACGTTGCCAAGTCCCAAGTGTGATATCAGGTCATGAAATTGCTTGAAGTCGAGATGATTCTCCTCCTCTTTTTCGCTCGAGTTGCCTTCGATCTTCTGACAGAAATACAAGAAGAGCTTCTTGGACCTCAGCCTGTTTAGCACTTGATTATAACTGAAGTTCTTTTTGCTGGCAGATACAATCGATTTGGCATTCTTGAATGCGATATCTTCCTTTGCACTTTCCAACACGACGCTCACATGTCTCGACATTCGAAACACTCAAAAAGGAACACGAATTTTTAGCAGGTCTGTGTGCTTGTCGCAAGCCATCTCAGCGATGTTGATCTCGTTTGCGAGAAGCTGATGCCTTGTCTTTCTACGAGACGAGCTTATGAAGCGGGAGACGAGGACATAGCGGGGCGATGACATGAAGTTGCTTGACCCCAACATCTCTTCCTCGATCTCTCGTGGTCAAATGCTAGGCTCTAGTTGACTCCTCGTCCTCCTCGTCCTCCTCGTCCTCCTCGTCCTCCTCGTCCGTCTTCAGTCCTCGCCATAGTCCACATTTTCATTCAACGGCAACGTTACTACCCTACCCCAACCCCATATGACCACCCCACAAATTACCTTGGACTACCCTACCCTGCTGTCAGTCTGGAATCTACTTCAAGCCAGCAAAGTAACACCCCTACCCCCGCATCCCCCCACCCTGACCCCCCTGTTCCCATCCCCTCCCCCCCTCCCGCTACACCGCCTCGTTGCAAGTGGTCAAGCGGCAGTTCCGACTCCTGATCCGAGTCCGACTCGATCACTGGATGCCCGGGGGCCCGGGCGGCCCGGGGCCCGTCGATCAGACATACCGTGGCACTGAAGGAGGAAACTGAGGAGGTAAACTCAGTCCAGTTACATGAGCCCTCCGGGCCCGGACATTCACTGAAGGAGGGGAGGAGGTAAATTACACGCAGATCACTGACTCCTCATCCATCGCTCCTCAGCAAGTGCAGGAGAATCGCCTGCTCCTTGGTGAGATCAGCCCGAGGCTCGATGTCGTCGGAGATCGTCATCAGCTCCCCTTCAGAGGAAGGATCGTCCACTGAGAGATCGACGGTCTCCGGGTACATCAACACCGCACTGAAGATCAATGCAAGAGTCTCTGGGGAGAGCTTATTTTCCTCTCTGTGCTTGAGGAGCTCGCGCAGCAGGGAAACGAGGTAGACCAGGACCGACAGGTTGATCGGCGGCATCTGCGACAGGATCCGGAAGCACCTTTCCTTGGACTGATGCTGCTTCACGCACTCCACCCGAACCTCCGGAGGAATCACTGGGTTCGGCAGGCTCCTCAGCAGTTGGATCAGGGCAGCAGCGAAGGAGGCGGGAGCCAGGTGGTCGGCGAAGGGAGCACCAGTGTCCACACACTCCCTGATCTCCAGCAACTCCTTTGGCTCCCCGTACTTGAGGAAGATGTTGTCGTCCTTCAGCCCGCGCTCGAAGATGGCTCCTGCCAACCTCCATACCTCCTTGGGCAGCGGCATCACCTTGCCCGACTTGCCGTCAACGTGTATCCCCGAGTAGCGGATGGGATACCGGTGCGTGACGAGTTCATCGAGCCCTCGCCCGTAGGCCGTTGCCAGGCACCGGGCGGTGATGCTGACGAAGAGCGTGTTTCCTCCCTCCACCTGCAGCACGAGGGTCTCCTGGAGCTCCTGCTTGATGCCGCGCAGCACTCGTGCTGCCTCGTCCCCTACCCGCACCTTGAACGTGATCGACCTCGACTCGCCCGGCATGAGAAGCCCGTACCTCGGCTCGATAGACAGCCACCTCTTGGCCGAGTTTTCTTTGAGGAAGTCGAGGATAAACCTGTAGTGGACGAACACCTGCCCTGTATTCCTCAGCATGGCGGACTGCTTCTGGGTGCAGCGGTAGTGAACGTCGTAGAAGTTGATGGACTTAATGTCGAGCTCAACGTTGGGTGTGCACTGGTTGTCCATGTGATCCAGCGACCGTGAGACTTGCTCGCCGACTTGCGAGAGCTTGTCTGTGAGTACCCTCGTCACTTCGAGGTTGAACTTGGCACTCACTGGTCGGTGATCGGACGCTGTCAGCTCGTGCCGAGCATAATGCTCCTGCTTGCAAGACCCTCGCTTGCAGTTCCAAAGGATCCTATCGCACCATGCCGGCGCTCGCTGCTTCTCGCTGGTGTCATAGTCATCAGTCCCAGCGTCATACTTGTACGTGGGCAAGAAGTTGGGGCGAGTCTCTTTGTATCCGAGGAACACGTTCCCTTCCATCCTCTGCTGGAAAAGTTGATCCAGGTTGTAGAGCTCCTCCAGGCTCCCTCCTTGAATCAACTCCAGGACCCTTTGCCGTCCTGCCTCTATCCGATAGTTGAGATCTCCGTACCAGAATATGATGTCATGCCCCTCGATCGTAGCCGGCACGTCTGTCGGATAGTACTCGGAGTAGTTACCGCCGTCAGGCCCGATGGACGACCCATCGTTGGAGCTCAGGGAGCTGGACGATAGCTGATGCAAGTCAGACTTGATGGTGGGAGTGTCGACCGCAGCATTCGTGCTGGGCTGGTACACAAGTCCGCGTGTCGAGTTGCTGAAGATCGTTCTCCTCGAGATCTCCATTTGATCAAAATTTCTTCTCTCCACCTGAGGTCAAACAATCAAGGTCAGGCCATGGCAACTCCGCCAGACTCAGCAGCTACCTGCGTCTTCCCTGCGGCGAGGTGAGAGCAGACGAAGCAGATCCCTGAGTTGTACACAGTTGCCCTGATCGAGATTGCTCCCTTGTTGCCAAACTGACCCAAGATGCCACAGCCGGCGGCCTTGCACTGTACATCCCGGATCACACCGTTGACAAGAAGCTCTCGCCGGGCCGCGAGGAAGTGATAGATGCCAACGTACTGCCTTGACACCAGGACCATGTACTTGTCTGGCACACCGATAGCGCTGGAAATAGCCTCCAGCCACGCTCGGCTCTCGGAGGACGACTCCTTGACCATGAGTGCGTTGGTGTTGAGTTTGACCACTTCCTGCAGGCCCACGGAGATCAGGTCGCAATCGTTGTCCTTTCCCAACCACTGCTGCAGTTGGGAGGCAGAGACCGGGCCTTGAACGGCCCCGACGTTCCACGAGCAGATCTTGACAGACACTGGCCTCAGCTCCGTGAATTCATCCTCCCGTTGCATCAGCTGCCGGTGGATCCACTCCGAGCGAGCGGCTCCGGTCAGGAACGACACGATGATCGGGTCGATGCTGAGCTGCGCGTTGGCGCCTGACGCTGTTCGAGAAAACCCATCTTGTGTCGAAAGTTTGCCCGTCACGTTCATCTGGATGATGTTGTAAACGTGCTTGATAGCCTGGTCTTCTTCGCTGTACCTCGCCAACACCCATGCATGCGACTTGCCTGTGGCTACGCTGAGAGTGTCAAACTTGCAAGAGCTGGCGATCTGCTGAGCATTCAAGAGAGTCTGCAGGAATGAGCCTAGAAAAGCGACGTCCTGGCACACGTAACCCACTTTCTTAAGCTTGTTCTTCTTCTGAAAACTTATCTCGAACTGACCGTCGCCCAGCAGCTCAGCCTTGAAGTCCATGAGGATGGGCACGATGTTTCGAATCATGAGCTTGGAGCTGAAAACTCTTGATTTGAACGTGAACAGAGCGCATTCCGTGTGGCTCGTCGAGTCGAGAGGGCATATAACAGCAATGACCCTCGGGTGGGAGTTTTTGGTCTTGCGCACCTCGATGATGGCTCTGCACGAGTCCTCTGAGGAGATGATCTTGTGCACTCTGTCCTCTAGAGTAGTCTTCATCCTATGTCAGCCTCAGCCCAACGATCCTATCCTTGTCCTTCTCGCCTCAGTGTCCTCCACCCCTCAGGACGAGTTAGCCGTGCAGCTAACCAGCAGCCTATACCCGCAACACAACGCTGCCGGCATGTTCACATGCTCAAGGATATGGGAGCGACTCATGCGAGGTGCTTCACATCCTGTCGAGCTCCACATCTACTCCTCCTCCTCTCCGCTCATCCTCCGCACCTTGCCATCGCTCTGACCTCCCCAGCAGCATCATCCCCCTCATACTCATACCTGGATAAAGAAAAGCTGAAAAAAAGGCTAGGGATGTTTCTGCTGCCTACAAGACATACTGGGACCGTCGATCACCGCTAGCAACCAGGACTACTATATAAGTATCTGAGATGGTAGTGGCAGACACACTTGTCTCGCGTCCAGTTGGAATATTTCGTGCTGGTCTTTCACCTTGTCACTGATGAATACAACGGTACAGATGCTGGATCGCAACTTGGTCCTTTATCACCTTGTCACTGATGAATATATCGGTACAGATGCTGGATCGCAACTTGGTCCTTTATCACCTTGTCACTGATGAATATATCGGTACAGATGCTGGATCGCAACTTGGTCCTTTATCACCTTGTCACTGATGAATATATCGGTACAGATGCTGGATCGCAACTTGGTCCTTTATCACCTTGTCACTGATGAATATATCGGTACAGATGCTGGATCGCAACTTGGTCCTTACCCAGGAATATGCAACTTCTCTCTATGAAAGGTATTGATCCATACTGATCGTACTCGTGAGAGTGGTTTTCAAGAGAGGATTCCAATATCAAAATGTAAGGTAGATACTGTCAAATGTAGAATCCAGCAATGTCAGAAGCAGCTGACAGCTGCCGGAGTTAAGCTTGTCAGTCGCTCACATCCTCGCTACCTCACTGACTCCTTCTCCTCCTCCTCCTCCTCCTCCTCCAAGTTCACCCTGCTCTCCTTCATTTAACTCGGAGCGCTGGCAACGTGAACACATAGACCTTTATTGACATTTTCAGCTTGATCTAACATCGCTTCACCCGCTTTGCTTTGTCCTCGTCTTGGTAGAGAGTTGGTAGATGGACCGGTTAGCTTTCCCTTTGCTCTCAGCCTCGAACAAGTTCTTCCCTCCTCTTCCTGCACGTGCGGTCAACCAGTCGGTTCGCAGTGAGCTGTGATGATGGGGGACCTGAAGGACGATGGCAGGAGTCCCTGTCAAACCTCTCGCTGACCGAGACAATCTGCTGCTGCTCACAAGCTCGTCAGGATGAGACGCCCAGGCAACGAGCTCCTCACGTTCTCCCTCTTCATCATCCGCGCCCGCGCATAATGCGACGCCACGATGCTGCCTGCAGGGGCCGTGAGGAGACGAGGCGGCGCTGACCCCTTACCTATCGGAGCTGCATCCTTCCTCCCCGGCTCATTGATGGAGAAATTCTTGCGCGAGTTCTGCGCCCTGCGCTGAGAAGAATCTGTGAGGGGAAGGTCAGGAGTAGCTTGAGAGATGGAGGAGGGACAGTACCTTTGACATCGTACATCTCTAACACCTAGAAACAGCGTCAAAGTCGTTCACTTCTATTCTGTCCTCCTCGTTTCAATCACAATCTCCTCCCCCTCCTTTACCTCCCTAGCATCATCATCACCATACTCATCAACCCCGCCCCGATCCACCACCACAATCATCATCATCATCATCATCATCAGCAGCGAACCTTCTGATAGTCGCGAAATTTCCGCTCGATCTCTTCCGAAAGGCTCTGAACATGATCTTCCGGGCTGGCCTCGCGCTTGCGCTCGGCGGCCGGATGGCCTCCAGGAGGAACGAACTTGCTAGACGTCTTTAAGTATGACTTAGTTGTCTCCTCCCTTTCTCTCCCTCGCACAGACGGCTCGTCGCCAGGTGGACCGAAGGCAGAGGGGCTGAGGAGGGGGAGCAGCCTTGTAAGGACCTTCAAGACATGCTCCACACTGTAGCAGTCTAACAGCTCGAGGTTGAAGGCGTCTCGAAAGGGAGGAAGCATCTTCCTGAACACTGCGCAAGAGAGAGCGTGAGGAGCAGACTAAGGAGAGGACAGGAGGGACCTGGGACAGCAGCAGCGACAAGCTGTGCTGCGAGCTTCTTGGCGTCCTCCGTATCTCCCTCATAGTTGAGGGCTGCTTGCTCCCTCTCTGCCTCGGAAAAGTCCAGCGCTCGTGCCGCTTCCGACTTGCCGCGGCTGCCGTTTCTCCTCCACTCGTGATCGTCGGATGCGTGATCGTGGAGGGTGGACCTAGTGTAGGCGCTGATATCATCAAACCTGAGGGTATCCGGGTTGCTCTGCGAGCAGCTCGAGGCCTCCCCATCTTCATGGCCCCTCGATGCGTCGGCGATCCTTTCGTGCAAGGAGCTGAGGAGGCTGCTTCCAAACGCGCGGTGCTGGTGAGGTCGCCCATCCGGGCTGCCGTGCGAGAGAGAGGAGTCCTTGTGACCGATGGGTAGGTAGCTCGTGCTGCTGCTTCTTGCTTGTGACTCATTAGCCACTGGAGATGTGCGGAGGTTTGAGATGGAGGAACTGTCCTGAGAAGACAGTCGGCCGGAGAAAGCAGCAAGAGCGTCTGCGGCTGGGAGCACGGGGCGCCGATGAACTCCTTGAAGTCTTGCAAGTTGATCGTCGTCGAGATCTTCCATGCTGTACTTGCCCATGCTGGCTCCCTCTTGATTCCTTTCCTGCATCGACATCAACTTAGATAACCCCTGTACACACAATCATAAGAAAGAAACTCATCACCATTGGCAGGTTGGGATGGTCTTGCAAGAAGTTCAAGCGCCTGGCGTTTTCAAGGTCATCATCAGAATTGGCTGTAGAGATTGAAAACTGATCTCACCTCATCGCTGACTGGATTGCTGCAGACTGACGTTGAGTTTCCAGCACAGGCGTCCCATCAATGATCTTAACGTGTCGCAAGACTCCAAGGATATGCTCTTTGCAGTTGACAAGCCTGCACACCGGATTCCCGGCGACACTGATCTCGACCAAAGACGGGAGAGACGTCAGGGCATCGAATGAAGTCAAGAAAGAGATTCTGTTTCTGGAAAGAAGCAATATCCTCAGCATAGCCAGGTTGTTGACAACTGCCGGCAATTCCTTTATCCTGTTGTTGGACAGGTCAAGTCTCTGCAACAGCAAGCAGCCACAAAGATCGCTGATGTCGTGGATGTCGTTCGAAGAGATGTCAAGATCCTTCAAAGATAACAAGGAACAAAGAGGCTGGAGATTGCTAATTTTCTGCCCCCGCAAGCTCAAAGCCTGAAGATACGGAAAGTTCACAACAATTCTGTCCAGGGACGTAACAGTTTGATGGGTCCGTGAAATGCTACAATCCAGTCTGCCCTCTTTGAACATCTCAAGCCTGTTTTCTAGGTTGGCGACAACGTCGCGTTCATGTGAATCGTTGGAGATATTTCTACGTTCATGTGAATCGTTTGAGACATTTCTGACTGCCCCGGTGCTTCCCACGTCATCGGACCCGTCGAAGCTAACATCTGGACAAGCGTCCAACTGCTCGAACGATCAGTCACGTAGGTAAGACACAAGCTCAGCCCTTACCTGCTCTTGCTCATCCGACGCTCGTTTCCCAAACACGACTTGTTCATCCTGGTTAACAGTCTTAGAACGCTGCACAGAACCTCTTCATGTTTACATTTTGCCGCCCTTTACTAGTCTCCACTTTCATTTCCTTGCTTCCAAGACTTGTCCTCGTCTTGCGAGCCTGCTCCATGCTCTTGCCTTGATACTGTAGCCGCATGTCCTTGCCCTGCTTAACAGGCTTGAACTTGATTGTACTCGACTTGTTCTCCTGTCCGCTGTTCTTTCCGTCGTTCTTCGCATCTTTTTCAGCTTCCATCTCGTGATCCCCGGCATCTCCAGCCATGTCTTCTTGCTCGCATTCCTTGGGTTGAGTTTCTTGTCTCTGATCTACCAGTATCTCTTGTCCCTCGTTGTCTTGCTCTTCTTCCTGCCGTTTCTCGTGTTCCTGTTGCTTCTTCTCCCCTTCTTCTTCCCGCTCTCCGTCTTCCTCCCAGTAATCCGCCTCCTCCGCCTCCTCCTCCTCCTCCTCCTCCTCCTCCTGCCCTGCGCCTAGTTCTTCATGCTCCTCTTCCTCTTGTATCTGATCCTCTTGCTCCCTTAGGTCCTCTTGGTCCTCCTCCTCCTCCTCCTCCTCATGCCGCCCTGCTTTATAGCGATCTGCCATGATAGGATTCGAAGCGGGTTTATTAGCCACGGGCCGGTAGCCCCGGGCTCCTGCCGCCCGGCAACTTGAAGTCCACCGGGCCCGCCGGCGTGTTGAACACAAAAAGGCGTGTGAATTTTAAAAGTCAGTTTTTGAACACAAAGGCGTGTGAATTTTAAAAGTCAGTTTTTTTTTAATAATACGTAGAGATGGTTTTTATATGCATTATTGTTGGAGATACTATATAATACCTATATTTTTATTGCAGTCGGCAAACCGAGGGTGGAGGCCTCCCAAAAGCAGGGAGGTGTCTATGAAAACATATGGGGCGAGCATAGAAATAGTGTAGGGTGGGGATGGGGTTAACAGAGATGGTAAGAGGGCGCGCCGTCACAAAATGGCTACAATAATGAGATATATATCTATAGAAAGAATCACACGGAGTTGGTTTAGGGTCGAATCATGGTAGGGGTGAGGGCTGAAAGCAGGAAAGGTGGGGGGTGGGGTGATCCTCAAACAAACAGAAACGAGAGATGTATAATAGTTTTATTCAAGTTTGTACCGATCATTAATAAAATTATAAAATTGTATCTGAGATTCGAACACGGAGGCTCCACTTCTTCACGCAGAGATGTTGGGTGGGGTGGGGTCCTTTCGCCTGTCGGGGTGAGGGAAGGTGGGGTGATTTAATCACCCACCCTTGTCAGTATAAAATGGGTATGAGATGAAGGGGTTATCTGAAAGAAGGGGTTAAGTATGGCAGTCAATTTTGAGATAAAACGTCTTTGGGGGGTGGGGGTGTGACGGAAATTTCGCATAGACAGAGGGGTAGGGTGGGTTCGAGGATCGTGTAGCAAGGCGCATGCAATAGCAAGACAAACGAGAGGTGCTGAGGTAGAAGGAGAGCCTGAAGGTCCTGATAGGAACGACTTGTGCTGAGCTACATTAGGATATTCTTGAACCAAGCTCGCTGTTTTGGTCTGTCTTGGCCTGCTCAGGACTGGAGTCAAGCATATTTATTCTCCGACTGGTCTCTCCGACGTTTTCACCAGAGACACAGATTCTCTAGACATGTCAGATTCTGAACAGAATCTCCAAGATTCTTTTGCTGTAAGGAGGATGTATCTTCGATCCAACTTGTCTTCTAGTGGGTCCTATTCGAGCAGCGCGTCGTCCTCTCTAGGCACTCTATCTCCAGTGTACCCGGCACAGATTCGACCTGCTTCATCATGCTTTGATGGCCGCATCACGATTCCGAAAAGGTTCCAGTTTGCAACGGCATCCAGGTCTCGCAGGACAACCTTGCCCACTGGAGCTATTCCTGGGAAGAACGAGCTTGGAACCTCTTTGCAAGCTCGGATCAAGGAGAGAAGTGTTTTCCTCAACCCGCCGAAAGAGCACAGGTACGTCAACCATGCTCTGCAGGGAAGCATCAGGATTGCTTTCGATCAAGTGGAGCCACCTATACCTGCCGCCAAGAGGCCTGAGTTTCAACGATGTGCTGTGGCACAATTCCGTGGCGGGGTCTTCCCTCGCTCACAAGCTGGATGCCCTCCATACGTTCCGTAGATGTTTGTTGATGTAGTTTTCTGTACATAATCAGTTTCTTGATAAACTGATGTTCTTATGTCTTCGACCTTATCAGTGAGGAACATGAAGTCATCTAGCTTTCATCGTTGGCTGTACGACTAATCCTTCGTAGTGTTGAGGACAGTGAAAGTCATGTGGGAGTAAAATGACAATGAGTGGTGCAAGCAACGTACCCTCGAATGTCCGCAACCACCAAGGACAAGACCCTCTACAGGGTAGGTGGGGTGAAGCCTACAGTCTGCTAGCTGACGAGTTGTCGAAATCCGCTCGGCAGTGTTGATGAAGAAACAGTGAGCCGTTCAACCGTTCGGCAGTTCTAGTGATTCAGTCAAACAGTTGGATCCATTGGAACTCAGGCAGGAGGGCAGGCGTCTGACTGAAAGGACTGCAGCTGACCGTATCAGCAGGGCTGCGTCAACTGCCCATCCGAGGCTCAGCCGCTTCTTGAGTTGCCAAGTTGAATCAGCGGGCCCCGCGACCATTTTTTTTATCATGAACTAAAAAAAAGAGTTTGATCTTGACTAGGCCTTTCAGCAGAACGTCAAAAACATGGATTCGTCATGGTCGTCAGAGGTTGGAGAGGCCTGGCAGGTGAGAGGAGAAGGAAGAGGATCACCGATAGTCTCAGGACAGGAGAAGGAAGAGGATACTCTGAAGAGTGGAGAAAGGAGGAGAGCAGTCTCAAAGGCAAGGGCCCTTCATTGCAAGACAGGGATGAGCAAACGCCCGTGTCCCTAATGCCCTGACGTATTATTACTCCTCCTCATAAGTTCTTGAGGTCGGGAGGGTATGCTACAGATGATCAGGGAGAGTGATCATGCTTGAGGGATTGCTCTTTCGTAGTATCGTCGAGGAGGGATCGCATCAGAGCGGCAGGACTGACATAGGGCGGCAGGAGCTGACATGCTGCGTCGCTCAGCGGGGACGGCACAAGCTCACGACTAAGATGGTGACGTCACATGGCACGTTTCAAGTGATTCTCTGTGACTGTCCTCTCTTGTGTAGGCTGCACTTCCAGCAGGGGGTGAGGCGTTGCTCGGATCTTCTTCCTCCGCCTATGACATCACGGATTCTGACAGGCGTCGGAGTTGTGCTGAAGACGTCGTATGACTATGACACGATGGGTTGCTCTGTCATCAAGTCTATCACACAAGGTTGGCTGGTACTGCACGAAAGCAACCGTGAAAAGCTCCTGCGGCAGGGGGGGCAGCGTGGAGGTCCAGAGTGCTCAAAGAAGGAGACATCATCATGTCTGTAGACAAGGTTGAAGTCTTTGGAAAGTCGACTGAGGTTGGACTACAACGATCATCATGCTATTCGCATTGAAGTGCTGAACAACACAGGAAGTTGCAAGGAAGCTGCGCGGGGAGATAAGCTCTCCCGTTCATTTGACATTGTGCTGATGGTTGATGTGTTATCCACCCCTAACTAAGACTGTTGATTAGGTTCCGTAAGATTGACTCGGATAATGAGAATGAGGCGTCCGCGGATGATGCTGCAGGAGTCTTGCCTGGCGACATCGAAGTTTCTTCAGAGACGATCCTGTTGGTTTACCCAATCCCTTCCTTTCTATTTCGCAGTCCACACGAGCTCCCCGACCCCACTGCCTGCAAGTTGCTCTCTACTTGTTTGTCCCCCTCATTCCTCCCCTCCATCCTCCCCCTCTGAGATTCTCATTTGACATCTGATTATGGTTTTGTATTTGTTGAAGGCATCCACATAGCTTCCGCCCATTCAAACAGATACAAATCAAACTCCTGCGAACTTTGGAAACATCGAGGCTTTCTATGCAAGATCGCCGCCAATGAAACAGATGTTCATAGGGAAATCTTATGATCATCGACGGCCAGGAAAGTACTTCTCTCCAGGGTGGTTCTTGCGGCTCACAGGCCTCATAACCGTCTTGGTGGCAGCCCTGGTGAACTTGTACCTGCAGCATTGCCCGTGAGTAGTGCAGGTGATCATGCCAAACCCTACAGGCGTCGGGATCCAAGGAGTTTCTTCTCGTCCTGCTCCTCAGCGATTGCCTTGTAAAATGCAAGATTAGAGATAAACTTAACGAGATTCGATCCTTTGCTCACCTTGTTCTCTGCCTCCTCCAGGTCATGGATGGCCTTCTCAGCGTCCGCTCCACGGAAGCCCTCCTGGAAGACTTTGAGCAAACCAGCGCCACAGCATGAAGCTTTACCCTTCCCATCACAGACTTCAATCCATTGATCATGCTCTTGAATGACAGCTCCTGCTCCTGTTTGCCGCAAGAGGAACTCAGGACATGGTTCAGGCCAGACAGGAATAGTTGCACCTCAACAGCCTTGGCGAGCCTTCTGGATCCTAGGAACCTCCTTGACTGCGAGTCATCCTGCCTCATGTAAATATTCCTGGCATTTGCCTTTGCAATTTCAATCTCATTCACTCACTCCAGCAACTTCTTTGACCTCTCGAATGGCCTTGTCAGCATCCTTTCCTCGGAAGCTGCGAAGAAATAAGGAACCTCGCTTTTCCGAGCTGCCTTCCTACCCTTCCCTTCCCTTGACGTCTTCAAGGGAGCGAAGCACCTGAAAGCAGTGTCAAGCTCGATAATCGAACAGACCCAATCATACAGATTTCATCATCTCGTCGCTCTTGTCACCATTTGCAGACTGTACCTTGATGCTTAGCAACACAGAAAGGAGTACTTGTCACTACCATGCGCAGAGAAGTTAATCTTTCGGTGCAAATACGAGCTGCGAGGTTCAAGTCAAGACAAGATAAGAGTAGAAATCACAACTTTACCATTCGTGGACCGCAGTCCTGGAATGACAGCAGAGCTGGAGCTTTGAAACGCAGTCGCAACATCAGAGCAGCAAAGTGCCACGACGAAGACTCCGAAGATTCGAGAAAACATTTGCAACGTCTGTTCTGGCGCACAGATCAACGACAGGGTAACGAGCAAGGAGGCGAGGAGGACAGAAGCGCTTCGCTTCATGAACGTGTGATGTCGAGGAAGCGGGCATATGATGTCACAGTTGAAAAGAAGAGGGACAGGAGGGTAAGTAAGGAGGTCACAGAGGCAGGGAGCGCATCATGATACTGAAGATGCCGATTGAACTAAAACGGGAAGCGAATAGCGAAACAAGAAAAGTAGCAGGAGCAGAAGCAGAGAAACAAAAACACAAAAGGTGGAAATAGATGAAAGCAAAGGAGGACGAGGACGAGGACGAGGACGAGGACGAGGAGGAGTATTTGGAGTAGTATTTGGAGGAGGAGGAGGAGGAGGAGGAGGATAAGGAGCAGGAGCAGAAGCAGAAGCAGGAGAAGCAGCAGGAGCAGGAGCAGGAGCAGCAGGAGCAGGAGCAGCAGGAGCAGGAGGAGGAGGAGGAGCAGGAGCAGGAGCAGGAGGAGGAGCAGGAGCAGCAGGAGCAGGAGCAGGAGGAGGAGGAGGAGCAGGAGCAGGAGCAGCAGGAGCAGCAGGAGGATAAGGAGGGGGAGGGGGAGGCAAAGTGCAGGGTCAGCGACTGGCCATTACGAGGCACAATGCAAGAGGGTCGCAAATCAACACGGGGGGGTGGGCTACTCTGTGACCTCTACCCCCCTTTTTACTGTATGAAAACCTTATATAATACGGTAGGGTGGTGTAGGTAACACTACCCTTACCCCCATTTAGCCCCTTTCTTTATAGTATCATTAGGTGATTCTTATACAGGATCGTTCTTCGCAGTGTCGTCAATGAAGGCGAGATGCGTGTTTAGGAAACAGAGAAATGTTCGGACAGCATGATGTGGGGTCAGATCCGTGAAGGAATGACAAGAAGGAATGTAGGTGCGAAGAAGGATTGCATTCCAGAACGCACGAGGAGTTAGAAACCAGAGCGAATGGATGGTGCAGATGAATGCGATTTATCGGATTACGCGCACAAGTCATCTGATGCAAAAGTGTGTTTGTTGGGAACACAGGCTGTTCATCCAACAACGCAACGAGCCGCTCACTTAAGCATGCTGCATCGAAGACTGTCCTTGGTGTCGACACCAGTCTTGGGGTTCGTGCCTGAAGCTCTCTTGCAGAGGTAGCCTGGCATGACATGTCAACGAGCAACAGGTTTGTTCTTGTCATCATACGCTGCTGGTCCTTGCGCAGCTCGGTGTCAGTGAAATCAGCTCCTTCGATGTTGATGCCATCCAGCTTGGTGGTTGATTGAATGTACGCCTTTGTGAAAGATCAAGTGTCAGCGACGTCAGACAATGATGGTAGAACGGCAGAGGGCAGGTTCGAATCAAGTTCGATACCCCATCACCCCTTGAGATGAGGATCAGATGAAGTCATGTATGAACATACATTGTTGACGATAGCGTTCTTCAAGTTCGCATCCTTCATGCATGTCAACTCGAAGTTCACGTTGGACACATCAGCTCCCTCCATGTTTGCGTTGGTCAGATCTGCAGCGTGAGGGTTGAGGGTTGCACATGAGGAATAAGAAACTCACCTCCATCAAAGAAGGATGCTCCTTTCAGGTTGGTTCCAACGAAGCTGCAATCTCTGCAAAGGCTCTGAAGGAGAGGAGGCATGAGTTCGTTGGCCAGTGCCTGTAGGAGATCACCTGCTGGAAGCTGATGCCCGGCAGGTTCTGACCATCAAAGTTGCTTCCTTCGAGCAAGGCACCTCTGGTGATCGTGCGCCTTGATCCTGAATCCTGCCAACATGCTGATCACCGCTCGATCCTCTTAGGAGTAGCTGACCTGAGTGGAGGCGGCACCCTTGAGAACTTTGAATGAGCCACCCTGCTGCGCAAAAGCGGGAATCGGCATCCCGGAAGAGAAGAGCAAGGCGCTGCCCAAGGCCAGTGAGACGGCAAATTTCTTGGCGTCAAATGCGTCTGCATCCGCCTCCATCCTCACAGCGGCGGGATGGGACCTCGTGACAGGTTTCATTCCCGAGAGGGCGTGAGGACCTTTCAAGGACAGGGCAGGGCCCGTCACAAAAGCCTCTGCACTTCCCAGACAGAAGGCAAGACCCAACACCACACCTGCGGCCAAACACATCACAGCATGAAAACCTGAAGCCAACCCTCGCCAAAGCAATCCAGAAGGATGGCGCGAGCAACAAACCTCTCCGCCCTTCGTCAACCCGTGCACCTCCACATCACCATTGCTTCCGAGTCTCTCGTGTCAATGAGCATATCTACTCCAGCACGTCTCCCTTCTGTCTTGCTCCCCACACTTCCACGCACTCCTCCGCACTTGCTGCGTCGCTTACCTCGCATAGCGCAGCGGAACGATGATTTCGTTTACTCATCAGTCATGAAACCAGGTCCGCCTCATCGATCCAGACAATAGTAGGTATGAGTGGGGATGAGGGTGTATTAGGGCGGCATGCCGGAGGATCACGCGAGAGGGGGAGGAGGGGGTCGAGCAGGCGCCGGAGGAGGAGGAGGAGGAGGAGGAGGAGGAAGGGGAGGAAGACAAGGACGAGGATCAGCCTCTGGGTCGGGAAAAGCAGGAGCGCTAGCTGTGGTTGCGAAGGCGTTGGCAACTCGGGCTCAGCTTTCAAATCAAGCCGGGGAGGAGGGGAGGGGAGAGGTTGAGCGAGATGGCAATATGTCGAGAGCCATCACTCGCTCCATGATGTCACAAGGAGGAGGAGAGATTGCTCTTGGGAATGTGGCTGGTTTGATGCAGGCGGTGAGGGATATGGATGTACAGGTAGTTACCAGCCTCTTAGAGTACGGTATAAAGGGCGGGAGGGAAGAAAGTGACAATGAAAACTGGAGAAAAAAGCTCCTGGAAGAGAGAGATTTAAGGAAACAAACACCATTGCATGTCGCAGCAAGCATGGGGAGTGAAGAGATTTGCAGCGTCATGCTCTCATTCCAGGCCAATGTAAACGCCGTCGACGTCCATGGGGAGACGCCATTGCACAAGGCAGCAGCTCAAGGTCATGTGGGGATCGTTCGCATGTTGCTCGAAGAGGGAGCCGACTGCATGGCCAATAGCAAGCAGCAAACTCCCTTGCATAAAGCAGCACAACGAGGCCATTCAGGTATCGTGAGGGAGATGCTCCGGGAAGGAACGGCATGGGAGGAGCGGTTCAAGGATTCGCTGCTGTGTGGGGACGTGCAGGGCGGAGGGACAGTGCTGCATGTGGCTCTGAGCACCGGGCACACTGACGTAGTGGAGGCCATCTGCTCGCTCGTCAGGCCTGACTCAGATGTGTACAAGCAGCTCATGGAGGCAAGGGACGGGTGGCAGCAACGGCCCATCGACTTGCTGCAAGACGGTGAAGGTGTTAGGCCGCTGGTGTCTTGTGTGCAAGAGAGCGCAGCGAAGCGAAGAGCAGAGGTCGAGGCCCACTGCCCTGCCGATCGTGTTCGTCCTCTGATGGAGTTCTCAAACCTCCCGGGCTACATCCAACGGAGGCTCGGGGCAGAAGAGAAGCAGCGAGCTTCTAAGATCGTTGAGGTCAGTGACAGCAGAAACCCGCTGAATGTTGACCTGCTCACTTTGTTCCCTTGCTTGCAGGAGATGAAGAAAGCGCTCGTGCCGGAGAAAGCGCTGGAATGTCCGAGCAAGGGGGAGGAGGAGGAGGAGGATGCTGGAGAAGGGGAGGTGGTTTCAGGCAGGGTGGCGGAGGCAGGGGATGCAGAAGTGAGTGATGTGGACGCTGTGAGGAAAGCAGTGTTCAGCTTCCGCTGTCAGAGTGACGGAGAGGTAGAGGTCGACCTGCAGCTCTCAGGAGGACAGAGGAGTGACGGGATGCGCTCAAAGGCTGGTGAGGAGGCGACGCTAGGGCTGGAGGAGGAGGACCTCTGTGATGAAGACTGTGTATTTGAATTCAATTTCGACTGCGGAATGTTTGTAGGAGAGGACGAGGACGAGGACGAGGACGAGTATGACGAGGAGGACGAGGAGTACGAGGATGAGTGGGACGAGGAGAGTGAGGAGACTGGCGTTCAGTCGATCCAAGGGCTCAAGACGACCTACATGATCCTGGAGGAAGGAAGCGGGAGGAGGGTCAAGAGAGGGAGCCAGGTGCTGGTGCATGCGCAAGGGTTCCTACGAGACTCTCTCAAGCACTTCTGGCACACGCGCGACCCGGGACAGAAGCCGTTTCGGTTCAGCGCGGGAGGAGGGCGGGTGATAAGAGGATGGGACGAGGTAGGCGGGAGAGAGACGAGGGCTGGGGCTGAATGTTGAGCAGGGATGCATCGGAATGCTGCAAGGGGAGAAACGAAGACTTTGGATCCCGTCGGAGGAGGCGTACAAGAGCGCGGGCTTCCCAGGTGGGGCTGCGATGTTTATCTTGCTCGAGATGCTGCTATGACTCGCTGCTTGTTAGCCATCCTACCGTGTGACGTGCCTGATTGACTGGTTGTCTGACATGTTGCGGTTGTATCTTTGACTTGTTTGTTGTTTGTCCTGTAAAATTGGCTGATGAGGAACTTTTTTTGTTGCAAAGTTTGTTCTTACTTTTTTAATTTACAATCTTTCAGCATGGGGAATACCTCCCAACAGCAACCTTATCTTTGAGATCGAGGTCTTAGAAATTCTACAATAGAAATAACACCCTGCTTCTACTCCCCTGCCTCCTCCTCTACTCCTCCTCCTTCAAGGTTCTTGGATTCGAGCACGCTTTTCCTCTCCTTCCTTTCCCCCGTCTTCGTCTTCCTCCACCACTCTCATCGAGCAGGTTAAGCAAAGAACAGCAGCGCTAGGGTACTCAACGCTAGTGCGAGCACGCGAAAGTCTAAAAAGAGAAGTGAGCAAGACAACAAGGGAGAGGAAGGGAGAAGGAAGGAAAGAAAGGGGGAGGTAGGCAGGGAGGAAGAGAGGCAGGGAGGAGCAAGAGGGAGAAGGAGTGGGATATAGCTATACCGGCAGCGAGCTGGTGAGAAGAAGACTTAGTGACAATGTCACTCTCGCATACGCCTGAGAAGAAGATAAGCCTCGATCCTCCTCCTCCCTCCTCCCTCCCTCCTCTATCTCTCAATTTCCCGCTCCTTCCCTCTCCTTCTCCTCTCCCTCCTTCTCCTCATCGTTAGATCATCACCGCTGCAGGCCTCGAGCTGGTTGAAACTTCCAGGTACCTCAGCGTATCTGCAATGAAGTTAGATCAGTGCGAAGAA